GCTGACTTTCCCAATTCAATTTGTCTCTTGATTCCTGGCTGCTGGTACTAAGAGTGACCCTATAGAGAGGTTAAACTGTTTCTAAGGCTGTAAATATTTGCAGGAGAACTACCTCATTTTTCTCTCATGAAGCAGCTAGTGAATTTGAGCTGCTGACTCTGAAACAGCCTCAATGAATTATGCTAAAGCTCTGTAGTGGATTTGGTTAGGAGCCAAGTGCTTTAACTACAATGTCACCTGGGCTTCTTGCGTTGTACTGATAAGTTAGTAAATTTATAAAGCATAAATCTGCAATATTATGTCATATACAAGCCAAGAGATCCATAAAGTCATGCCAAAATATTTTAGATTGAATCACTTTGCTTATGTTCTTGAGATCTTTCAAAACCAAAAGCGGAAAAGAAAAAGCAAAAAAGGAGGTACTCTCCTGGGCCTTTCAAAGCAAATTTGGTGTTTGTCAGATGGCCTGTATTTTAAATCAGAAATCTGAAATCTTCAATGAAGTGAAAATTCCCTGATGCAGTAATAGAAATTAACATAGAAAGTATTATTTAGTTGTATAACTTTGGAGGAAAAAGAAGATTATTCTGTTAAATAAGCATGAATACTTTATGAAATAAAATGCAAAAAACGGACCCTTGTTTATATATCTATATAAAGCTTGAATTCAAAGAAAGCATGTTGCAGAGGTTGCTTTGGACCACTTTCTCTCTCTCCACTTGGAGAGAAAACTCAGCTATAAAATCCTTCTCTAAGTTGCACAGCGACAGCTGATAAAGGTGAAAGGGAAAGTGCAGAGTGCAACTTCAACACATGTTATTGCCTTAAGTAATTTTAAGCAATTTTGACTAAAATAAGATTGAAAAATCTACTTTCTTTTGAGATGTTGCTTCCTGGGAAAATTTAACATACTACTCAAAACTTGGAGCTCTGGTGGCCTAGTAGTAAAAAACTGTGCTGCAATTCCCAAGGCACACAGTTCTAATCCACAAGCTGCGCATTGGAGAAGGATGACTAATCTCTTCCCATGCAATCTCTGAAAACCTGCTGGAGGGCCAGCTGTGGGTCAGTTCTGACATACTGACACACAACAACAACAAAACAACTCAAAAATTAATGAATTAACTTTTGAGCCTTCAACATGAATTAACATCTTAACATGAAGAAAAGAAGAAAACAAAAGAAATCCTCACCACTAGGTCAACAATGTTATCGTATCTGGAGCCACATTTAACATCCTTGGTACAGCCATCAGGACATTAAGAGACTTACTACGTTGGAAGAGTCTGCAGTCTGGGTCCTTTCCAAATTATTGAGGCGTTATGATGCCAGTTTTAAAACTAAGGTGTGCCTGATCAAAGCCACCGTATTTCCAGGTACCTGCTGTGCATCTAGGAACTGGACAGTGAATAAAAATGATGAGAGAAGAATTGATGCATTTGAGTTGTGTTGAAGAAGAGTGCTGAATATCCCATGGACTCCCAAAAGAACAAACAGGTCTTTGAAAAAGTACAATTAGAGTGGTTCTTGGAGGCAAGGATGGTGAAGCTTCATCTCGTGTTTTGGTAATGTTGTTAGAAGAGGCTCTCCTTGGAACGGGACATCATGTTTGGAAAGGTGGAAGGTCAACAAAAGAGGGAAGACCCTCTATTAATAAACTGTCTGCAGCAGTGGGCTCAAATGTGTCAGGAATGATAAAGGTGATGCCAGATAGGACAAGATTGAGATCTGTTGTTCATAGGGTCTCTATGAGTCGTACTCAACAGCACCTAACAATAACAATAACGTAAAAATTAAGTAAGCCCCTGCAAATCTTTCTTAAGTACTTTGTTTGAGATATACTTCATCCTTTTTGGAGCCCCTGGGTGAAACAAATGATTAAGTGCTTGACTGCTAACTGAAAGGTTGGCAATTCACGTTCACCCAGATGTACCTCAGCAGGAAAGCCTGCCAACCTGGTTAGAAAGTTACTAAACACCAATGGGGACTCAGTGATACTTAGACCCATAGGGTTACCATGAGCCAGAGCAATAGATTCCTTTGGTTTTATAGACTATAATGCACATTCTAAGCTACTGACCAGACAAAATGTGAATGGTGGTAGGAGGGGTTCCCAAACAAACTAGCAAGTCTAGTAAATAATATCCAAGTTTTTAAAAGACAAAAACAGCTATATAAATATCATAAAAATGTGGAGCCCTTGGTTAAGTCACTGAATCCTAACCGCTTTATTTCAGCTACAACAGCAAGCAGCTGCTCAGTGGGCAGTTTTGTTATGAGGTGTTGGTGATTTAACAAGTTGGCTGAAGGCATTGGAATGGAGCCTGAAAGATTTCAGTCAAGTTTTGTCCATGAACTCTGCACAATGGCCAGTTTTCCAGATTTGGGCATTCAAGAACCAAAAGAGGATGCAACAATCTTTTTGCTGTAGTGTTTTCAACAGTCCCTTCAGTGGTTTGTGTACCACTCTTTAAAACGTTAGAAAAATACTGTAACTGTGGTTGTTAATTGCCTTGAAGTTGGCTTCCAGTTCATGATGGTGACATACATGATAGGAATGAGCCACTGTTTTCTTAATTGGCTGATTTTTAGAGGCAGCTTACTAGATCTTTCTTCCTGCACTGGAAGTCTCCGTGGATGCCTGTTCAACATCACAGCAACACCTGGGAACCTCCAGTGACAGACAGGTGGGGCCTGTGCTCAGGCTGCTTTGGTCAGGAATTAAGCCTGATCTCCCCCATGGAAGGTATGAGTTCTACCACTGAGTTACCTGTACCCTCTGGCAAAAAAATTCTACTAGGGTGATTTGTTGTCTGCTTTTCAGAGTTTCTAAACACCACTGTGCAGAATTTCTTTTTAAAACAGCAATTTTTTATGTATTGAGCAGTGTCCTTTTATTTTATTCTTAAACTGAGAATTCATTTCACATAATAAAAACTGACCACATGGGATTATAGGAATGTGATTATGTGCTCTGAAATAATATCTAGCTTGGCAAAATGAAAAGGGCATCGGTCTGGAATTCTGGAGCACCTGGTTGGATAATGAAGCATAAATACCCCTTGCCCAAGTGGTCTGGACATATATCCCCAGTGTTGGCTTCGTCTTTGAGTTTTAACACCTCATCATGGGTATTTTAGATAATTTTAATTAACAGTACACATGATTCCAAAATATGCCATTTACTTTTGATATAATAAACATTTGTTGCTCACTAAGTCATTCAAATAAATGAAAAAGTGAGGCAGCCTTACATTTGTTACTAATATTAGTTCTTTCTTTTCTGTCCCAAGTTATTGCTTATGTAGCTACCTAACTGATTGTTGTTGTTGTTGTTACGTGCCGTCGAATTGCAGGCGACTCATAGCGACCCTATGAAGGAGAGTCCTCAGTACTTTGATGTCTCTTATCCTCTCTCCAGACCTAATTGATTAGACAAGAGAACTGAAGTCACTATCCTTCAAATAAGGGGCATTAGCTATTTATTGATAGAAGTCTTGCTTTTAATATGAGAGATTCAGGTTGAATTCCTGACCAGTGTTTCTCATCTATACCTGGCAGCTGTCTGTCAAAGGAGGTGTGCTTCTTACTCTGGTGCTGAGGAAGTTTAAATGGGGATTCCAGGGGTAGATTGACTAAGAACAAACCCTGGTGATCTACTTCCAAAATTCACCAAATGAAAACTCTGTAAATTACAGTCGTATATGCAACTGGTTATGGAGATGGCACGGGACCAGGCAGTGGTCCATTCAGTTTTACGTGAGGTACCATGAGTCTGAGGCTGACTTTACAGCAGCTAACAACGACAACCACTTATTAAGTGTTTACAGTTTATAGGGTAGACCTTATGCTAAATACAGAGATTTCTAGGACACCTCTTGTCACAACAGTTAAGTCTTCCATTATTACCCTAAAGATTGGTGGTTCCAACTTGCCTACGAACTCTCAAAGAGACCTAACAGTTTGCTCTGGTAAAGATTTGTTGTTTTGTTGTTAAGTGCTGTCTAGTCAGCACTATTTGTCTAGTCAACTATGATTCATAGTGACACTATGAACAGCAGATTAAACGTTGTTTTTAAAGATTGCAGGCAAGAAAATTCTACTCTGTCACATGGAGTCATTGAGTCAGAAGCAACTTGACAGCACTGAATAACACAGAGGTTTCAACAATGGACAGCAAGAGATACTCTTGGCTTGCATGGATCTTGTCGTGGCTTAGAGACAGCTAAGAACTAGATAATTAGAATAATATGCAGTGTGGGCTCTAATATATCCCAGAGTTGCCTCATAAATTCTAGATTCTAAATAAGGACTTTGACTAGGGAGGACAGAAGGAGAATTGATGCCTTTGAGATGTGGTGCTGGAGAAGAGTATTGAATGTACCATGGACTGCCAAGAAAACAAACAGATTCATCCTAGAGAGGGTTAAACCAGGCTACTCCTTGGAGGCAAGGTTTCTGGGGCTTTGTCTGACATACTTTGGACATGTAAGGAGAGACAGGTCTTTGGAGAGGGACATCATGCTAGGTAGAGTAGAAGGACAGCGCAGGAGGGGAAGACCCTCTATGAGGTGGATTGATTCAGTGACTGAGGTAATTGGGATGGTTGTGTCAGAGGCAATGCGATTGGCACAAGATAGAGCAGGGTTTAGGGCTGTTGTACATAGGGTCGCTATGAGTCGCAAACGACTCGACGGCACATAACAACAACAACAAATAAGGACTTGTTCCTGTATGCTCTTAACCATGTGAGCAAGATAATTACAAGAACATTCACCCCTTACTTTTAGTTTTTATCTAGATGTTTCTCAAAAGCAGCTGTTATACTAACTACATATATGACTTTAATTTCACCAGGCTTCCAGTTTCTGGGAGAGAAATCTGTCAAAATAAACAGACTTTGGGAGGGCAGGGGTGAGAATTAAGTACTAGCATAATTTTCAGGGAAAATTAAAAATGCAAACTCACTCATGTTCATGCTTCCTATCTTTTCTCCTCAGGGCATCTACTTGGCCTCTCCCATGATGATTCCAAATTCTGTGAAGAGAACTTTGGTTCCACAGAAGATAAACGTTTAATGTCTTCCATCCTAACCAGCATTGATGCATCCAAGCCTTGGTCCAAATGCACATCAGCCACCATCACTGAATTCCTGGATGATGGCCATGGTATGTATCATTGAGGACAGCATAAGTTCCTAAACAAATCCTGGGATTATTACCAGTTTTGCTTCATTATGTCCTCATAATGTTCCATTTAACCTCTAAGACATTGGCTGTTTAGGTAGTGCCAGAAAAAGAAGTAGCAGGACTGTGTCTAATGGTGTGTAATACCAGCGTCTTTGGTGGCATTATAACTATGGTATTTTTGCTTTTCAATTGAAAAGTTCAAAAGAGAAATAGTGTGGGAGACCACACAGAATGCTTAGCCAGTGCCCTGAAAGCCTGGCTTTTATTTCCTCCTTCACCACCAGCTTCCTGTGAGAACCTTGGCAGACATGTTGGTTTTCCTGCTATTAATATGACTCTCGGGATTGTTATATGCCTATTATAGGGGTGTGGTAAAGATGTAGGTGACAATTCTGTCAGGTACTATATATGCATGACAGCCTAAAGCTAGGAAAAGAAGCCTTCTCTAGATTGGCAAGGGCTTTCCTGATGGCAGGTTCCTCTGAAAGTGGAAAGAAAACTGCAGAACTGAAATAGAAAAAGCAAATTGAATGATGGGAAAACACTCGAAGGGCAAAAGGAAATCTATCCTTTAGAGGCAGTTCAAGAGCCTAGCATACTTCATTAAGAAATTCTATACATCTAAGCATCTCATTATCACTGAGTCAGAGCCAATGCATAGCTCACTCTTTGAGTTGGTTTTCAGGGGCCATAAATCACACAAGAGTAGATTGCCTCTGTTTCTCCCTTGTAGACTGGTGAATTCAAACTATCAGACACCACCTGTAGATAAGCAGTGCAACACCTTAAGGGCTACACCACCAGAGCTCTCCTATTGAAAGTTCGCTTTGTAAATGATACAAAAATATTGTGCGGGGAGAAGGGTGCAACAATGAATGAATGGAATCCCAAAATCTCTGTAGATGTTCATTGAAATGAAAAAATAAACAACCTAAATTAAAAAAAAAATAAATTCTTGAAGAATAAAAAAAAATACCAAGAAAGTCACAAATTTTAGAAATTATAATTCTGACTGAGAAATAATCTTTGAAATATGCTGTTGCAAATTCTCAACACTTTTATTTTAAAATAATAGAAACACAGGCAGATAGATGTCTAATGTTAAAGGAAATCTTCAGAGACCAAGTAGCTACATCTCACCTGCAGAAACAAATATACTCTCACTGCTTTAGTCTCTTTTTTAACATCTACGCTCTCTCTGAAATTGATAGTTAAATTGCAAATTATGTGAATTTATTCTTGATCATATTTGTACTCATATATTATTCAAAGTCAGGCTTTAAAAAATACATTTTTTATAGTTAGGCAATTTTCCCCCAGTTCTACAAAAATTCTCATCTGATACTTTTATGACTTCTTAGTGTGTTGGTCATTTGGAGCTTTGGTCAAAGAATGTTAACAATTCATAATTGCAATTTATTGTAACAAAAAATAAATACATCAGCTATGTGATTCTTTGGTATCATGTAGCCAAAATGAACTCATTTTTGCTATTTTTCTGGTGAGCTGATAATGCTATGTTACTTTATGCAATTCAAATTCATTATTCCTGAAGCCAGTTAAAGTCCAACTGGATTTAAAATTTCTCTCAATAGCAAATAAATATTATTTCTCAACTGAAAAGGCATTTGAGTATCTCATGGATTCACAAGCAGTGTTAAAAGCCACTGTATTAGACTTTTACCCAAGACTAATAATGTGATAATTTTGTTTAGTTCATTAAAATACTAGCAAAACCTTTACCTAGTTTTCTGCCTACCTGTGTCGATACTTTCAAGACCTCACTTTTTAAGTCTCTAATGAATAGAATATTAGCCTCTAATCTTGCTATTACTTTTCACTGTTTTTTCAGGTTTTTGGAAAATGAAATAACACCAATATTTTATTTCAAGATCATACGTTACGCATTCCACAAGGTTGAGCTAAACTTTGTATTATTAAATGAATGGATGTAGTTGCTAAGCAGCAAATGCTTATGGCTAAAGTGGGACTATATTTTTTCCCTGCACAAGTATTAGGTCAGCTAATTACAATGCTGTGTAAAATTTTGTTCCTTGCTGCATAATTTGGAGGTGATTTATTTATTTCATGTTTGTGGAATTTATGATCTTACTTTCTTTGCAGTAAATATGCTTTCTGCATTGTCTTTACTTTTTTCCACATTATGTCTTTCAATCCACATTCTAAATTTACTTTCAATTTACAGCGAATTTATATGCTTTCTGCATCTCTTCTACTCTTCTAGAAAGGACTCATGATAGAAAGCAACCAAGAGCATAACTTAGTATAAAGTATGTTAATAAACACTTATCTGAGTTATCATTGTACATACTAAGTATATACATTCAGTTACCAAATTTTCTCGTAGAAATTCATATAGTTATTCATTTGTGAACTTAAATTGCATTATCTGAACTTTTTTCTCATTTTTTAATAAATTAACCTGGCAAAATTTGGGGAAAAAACCTAGAAAGCAATATTTTATCACTTGCCTATATGTGTTGTTGTTGTTGTTATGTGCTGTTGAGTCACTTGCGACTCATAGCGACCCTATGTGCAACAGCCCTAAACTCTGCTCTGTCCTGTGCCAGTTGCACTGTCTCTGACACTCCCATCCTGATTATCCCAGTCACTGAATCAATCCACCTCATAGAGGGCCTTCCCCTCCTGCGCCATCCCTCCACCCTCCCAAGCATGATGTCCCTCTCCAAGGACCAGTCTCTCCTCACAACATGTCCAAAGTATGTTAGACGGAGCCTCAGAATCCTTGCCTGCAAGGAGCCACCCGGTTTAACCCTTTCCAGGACAAATCTGTTTGTTTTCCTAGCAGTCCATGGTATTCTCAATACTCTTTTTCCAGCACCACAGCTCAAAGGCATCAATTCTCCTTCTATCCTCCTTGGTAATTGTCCAACTCTCTGATGCATAACAAGTGATTTCAGAATAACAACAAAGAAAGGTAACATAGTTCAATAGTGAAGCTCAGTTATATCTCATTTCAAAAAGCCAAAAAAAACACAGCATCGAAACAGTCAGACATGCTGCAGCGCTGTTAATTTAAATAACTTTTTGGTGGTGACCAAAACCCTTACATATGTGCTTTTGAGGTTGCTGATGCTCTGACATTTCCCCTCAGGCCAAACAGTAGAAAAAGCAACCAGATATACAAAGAAACATACCCTGTGATAAGATCAGACAGATAAAATGAACGATAATCATAAAGTTTCTTCACTTTATTTATAGGATTCTTACACTACTCAGGTTTCCATTCAGAGTCAATATATTCATACAACCAATACTCATTGTCCTAATAGAGTCTTATTATTGTTTTACGTCCCTGATGATTTTAAACAGTAAGTAGTCATTTGGGGAGATGCTTCAAATGGGTAAATTGAAAGCAAGAAGTGCTATCCTTTGACAATAAGGAAAAAGACAGGCTAATTGTAAAGACCTAAGACATGAAAAATACACAAATTGTCTGCTACCATTTACCAAAGGACCAAAACCCCTGTTATACCTGCATGTACCTGAAGATGCTTCTAAATTCCAGCATGATACAATAGTGAGTACTCAGAAATAATCCCTGCAATCATTTAGGAAAAGTTAAATAGTAACGTGGATATAAGAGGAACAAAGAAAAGATCTGCTTGTCTACAAGTAAGTCTTTAAAAAATATATATGCAGTTTCAGAAATATATGTATGCAATAGATTGTTCTTGAAAAACCATTATCTGGAGAGATTATGTGTAATACCTCTTTCTTTCCCTCCTGCCCCAAGTGATGCTAGAGAAATGAAGTCTAAGAGTAAAATTAAATTCAAAACATTTAATTTACTTTTTAAATTATTGGTCATAAGTAGCCAGACCCTGATAGCATTTGACTCGCTGGCAAATTTTGGTTGATTAATACTGAACGTTTCTTGAATGAATTCCAGTAAGAAATACATAACAATTTGGTTATGTTTGAAAAGTCAGTGTGCTCATTCCACATTCACTGTGCATGCACAACTGTGGTCCAGAAAGGGAGAAGCTACATCTCCCTTCTCCGAGGACACTCCACCTAGCTGCTGTGTGTGTGTGTGTGTGTGTGTGTGTGTGTGTGTGACATTCTACAGTGTTTATAGAGGTTAGCTTTATGCAAACTGGCCAGCAGTATGAACCTGCAAAATAAAGGTAAGCCCTGGCAAAGGAATTGTGCAGCAAAAGCAGATTATCAAATTTCTTTCTTCAGTGCTTGGTAACCTTGAAGCCAGAGGGATAGCTATGCTGATTGTAATAGGTCAAGTGATGAGAAAAGCTATTATCAGGGTAGATAGGATTCAAGAACATTAATAAGCATAAGTTTATCAGGAAATCTGACAAATACGAAAAATTAACATGTAGCATAGTCAAAGAGCCAAGTTAACAGCCTCTTACTGAACAAAGAACTTTAGAGATAAAACAGTATTAGAAATCCAGTTCTCTGAGTCTGCAAAGTTAGCAGTTAGGATTTAGCATGCCATTTTTTAATGTAATGCTCAAAATCATTTTAGTCCTTTATAGTAGTAGCTGGATTTTTAAGATAAATGTATTTGTTAATAAGTGTATTTTTGAAAGTGTGTAAATAAAACATATATTTTTTGGCTGGGAAAATAGGAACATTTCCAGATTATTGAGGAGTGATGATGTCAGTTTGAGGAATAAGGTGCATCTGATTCAGGCCATATTCTTTCCAATCACTTGCTATGTATGTATCTGAAATCTGGACAATGAATAGGAATGATAGAAGAATTTATGCCTTTGAGCTGTGGTGTTGGAGAAGAACTCTGAACATCCCATAGATGGCAAAGGGAACAAATAGATATGTCTTGGAGAGGGTCCAGCCAGAGTGCTCTTTTGAGGCAAAAATGATGAGGCTTCACCTCACATACTTTGGGCACGTTGCTAGGAGATGCTCCTTCTTGGAGAGGGACATGATGTTGGGAAGAGGGAAGAGTCGGCAAGTGGTGGATTAAAACGGTGACTGCTGCAATCAGTCAGCCAGGTAGACTGATAAGGTGACTGCTGCAATGGGCTCTTGTGTGTCAGGAAGTGTGAGGTTGGTGCAGGATATCTATCATCAACACTAGCAGTCAGGAAATCAAGACTAATTGCCTTGGGAAAATCTTCTGTCAGGGACTCCAGAGTGCTGAAAAAAACAGCGATGTCAGTTGGGAGACTAAGGTGCGCCTAATGCAAGCTCTGGTCTTCGCAATTACTTGTTATCCTCAGGGAGCTGGATGATAACCAAGGATGACAGGAGAAGAATCGATACCTTCAAGTTGTGGTGCTGGAGAAGAGCCTTGAACATAACATGAACTGCCAAGAAAACAAATAGGTCTGTTTTGGAGAGGGTAAAACCAACTTTCTCCTTGGAGGCTAGAATTTTGAAGCTCTGTCTCACATACTATGGGTGCATAGCCAAAAGAGACAGGTCTTTGGAGAAAGACATCATGCTTAGAAGGGTGGAGGGACAGCACAGAAGAGGAAGACCCTGCATGAGATGAATTGATACAGTAACTGGGGCAATGGGGGGTTGGTGTGTTGGGATTAGTGAGACTGGCTCAGGACAGGACAGGATTCAGAGCTGCTGTGCATAGGGTCACTGTCGGTCACAGGTGACTCTATATAGCACATAACAATGAAAACAACACACACACACACACACACACACACACATATGTAAAGCTTTGGGAAGAAACTTTTCATCTTGAAATCTCCTGTTTGTAAGCTGATTTCAATTTTTTTCCACTCAGCAATTCTTTCCCTCATCATCTACAAGTGAGGAGTAATGACTGACCATAAGAGTGGATCACAGGAAGGGAAGGAGTTATTTTGGTTTAGGATAAATAAGGGAGGCACATGCCATTTGCACTCAAATATGATAGGGACTTCCAAGCTAATATTTGGTTACTTAATTTTACAGTTTGTGATTTTTCAGTACAGAAGGATAGTGTCTAAAATAGTAATTTTCAAGAACTGGCCAACATACTTGCTTTCTTAGTGATTTGTTGACAGCTTTCTGACATCAGTAGTCCACTAAGTATTTGCAAGTTTGCATTGTATACATATTCCCTTTGAAGAGACATAAGTGTATATATTTGTATAGCAGTGAAGATAATTCCATTCATGGGTTCTGAAGTAAACCTTACTGTGTCTTCTAAACAAAGCTTACTGAGGTTTCGGTATCTTTCTTTTCTATTGACTTGATGCTGATGTGTTTCTTATTAACTTGAATTTTTTTTTTTCTCCCACAGTTCTCTTTGGCTGCCTATTTACTTTCAATGCTTTTTCTGGCTTGTCTTATGAAGCTTTACCTCTTCTTATCTTATCTAATTATCTGGCTCAGAAGATAAAGACGTTGCTTTTTATTTGTGTTCATATAATGCTTCCATCACGTTGTTATGGTTGTTAGGTGCTATTGAGGCTAGTATGACTCACAGTGACCCTATGAACAAAAGATCTGAACCCAGTCCTGTCCTATGCCATCCTCACACTTCCTGACACACAAGAGCCCATTGCAGCAGTTACCATGCCAATCCACCCGGTTGAGGATCTTCCTCTCCTTCACTGACCCTCCACCCTTCCCAACGTCATGTTCCTCTCCAAGGAATAGCATCTTCTAGCAACACGTCCAAAGTATGTGAGGCAGAGCCTCATCATTTTTGCCTTCCAAAAGCACTCTGGCTGCACCCCCACCAAGACATCTGTTCATTCTCTCAGCTGTCCATGGGATGTTCAGTGCTCTTCTCCACCACCACATCTCAAAGGTGTCAGTTCTTTTTCTGTCGTCCTTATTCATTGTCCAGGTCTTTTTTCAAAGCATTTCTAATACACATAAAATAAACAGAATACTTATTCACTCTTTGGAAAGTGTCATTTGAATAAGATTTTCTTTAGTTGAAAGAAAAATAACAGAATACATCAAAAGTTATTTAATAGAGTCCTAAGTATCATATATTTCATCTTTTTTCATATGCTTCTTTATGGGTTAGCTCTGTTTGACTTCATGTAAAGTGTTTCTGTGAAGAGAGGAACCATTCACAGATATTGAGAAGAGATTATGGAGGGGACAACTATGAGAGCAAGAGCACTCAGTCAATTTAGTGTTTAGACAGGATTAAATGAATTTATTTATTTATTTATTCCTTTATTCCTTTATTTATTTCTTTATTTTTACTGATGCTTCTGCCCCTTGGCACAAGGTCTACCATTTAAGGGCTTCCCCTATGGGTGGTTCAGATATTTAACCTGCTTATCTGCTATCCAAAAGTTTAGAGAATAAATTCAACTCAAAGTACTTGAGAAGAAAGTCCTGAAAATCTAGAAAATAAGCCACTGAAAACCCTAGGGAGCACCATTCTGCTCTGACCAACATGAAACTGTCAAAATCAGATTGAATTCCTGGTAATTGGTTGAATTTAAATGTTGGTAACTGGCAACTTAGTAACTAGTTGGACTCAATTCTTGGTAACTGGTTAACTCTCTGTATACCTGTTCTCTGGGAATAAAAAAAGTAAGCTATCCACATGCCTCACAAAAGCTGTACGATAGATGGTGAAGAGTTCAGGCTCTGAGCATAAATCCCTAACAGCTACATGACACTGAGTAATTGGTCTATTTTGTGTTCCTCAGTTGTCTCACTTGGAGAATAAGGAAAACAATAGAAGCTGCCTCCTAGAGCTCTCCTAAGTGTTAGATAGATTGTGGTGTGTTGCTGTGACTATATGCAGGGAATTTTAACTCAGAAAAGACCCTGTAGGGACAGAAGAGAAACACCCTGTCTGATTTCTCGTGGCATCCACTTCCTAAATAACATGCCTCGAAAACTCTATGAACTTTGATAAGTGTCGTTGGTTGTAAAGGGGCTTCAGGCCTTTTGTTCATAGGGTCATTATGAGCTGTGCTCGACATGAAGGCAATCAACAAGAATGATCTTTATGGAAGTAAAGAATTGGGTCTTTTCTCTTGTGGAACAACTAGTGAGTTCAAGCCAGAGACCTTTTAGTTAGCTGAGCTCTTACCCATGGCACTTCTTGCTGTTGTTGATTTACGCCTTCCAGTGGGAACCAACTCATAGCTAACCCTTCAGTGGGTTTTCAAAGCTTGCCGATTGCATGGGAGGATATTCTGCATCATTCTCTCAAGGAATAGCTATTCAAACTGCCTACATTTGGGTTGCAGCACAGCTCCCTACCCACTAGGTCACCAGAGCTCCTTCATGGCACCTCTGAGCCTCATGTATCTGGTTTCTAAGACTTTAAGTCTTAAAGGACAGAAACGGCCTGTCTTTCTTCCAGATGAATTCAAATCCTTGGAGACAGCAGTCTTTTGCTTAGTAGCAGAACAGTTCCCATAAGATGAGTGCAAACTCATAATTCTTTCTGAAACTTGTAAATATTCACTTGACTTTGTGGTAAGAAGCTATGCTGCAATCCCAAAGGCCTGCGATTTGAATCCACCAGCAGCTCCTTGGGAAAAGGATGGAGAATTTCCTCCAGTGTAATTACTGCCTCTGAGAACCTGCCAAGCGTCAGCTATTGGTCAGTTCCAACTTGATGGTATACAGCAACATAAATGTATACCAATATATTTATATACATATAGACATAGACAGATAGATAGATAGATACACACTCACACATTAAAGGGAATTTTAGTGACATGGTCCGGAGAGAATCCTGGAGAGTGGTTGGTGAGCGCAGAACATTTAAGAAATCCAGTACCTCACTGAATTCCCTCTCTAGCTCTTCTCACTGGTTGGTACATGATAATCTGAGCTAACGACCGTGTTACTCTTTTTGATGAAGTATTTTAGTGGTTTGAAATGTCAACATAAAACCATAAATAATCTTGGGTTTTCTTTCAGGTAACTGTCTTCTAGATCTACCACGAAAGCAGATTCCTGGCCCAGAAGAGCTTCCAGGACAGACGTATGATGCCACACAACAGTGCAACCTGACTTTCGGGCCTGAGTACACGGTGTGTCCGGGCATGGATGTCTGCGCGCGCCTGTGGTGTGCTGTGGTTCGCCAGGGCCAGATGGTGTGTCTCACCAAGAAGTTGCCTGCTGTGGAAGGGACGCCCTGTGGAAAAGGGAGGATCTGCCTGCAGGGAAAGTGTGTGGACAAAACTAAGAAAAAATATTACTCCGTAAGTGATTCTTTTCTTCTCACACAACACCTGGAGATTCAAGATCTCAGGTGTGCTTTTTTGGCATATATATGTACATATACACATACATACATATATATACATATGTATATATACACACATACACATATATATGTGTGTGTATGTATATATAGGCACTGCCAACAGAAAGCTTCATTTGATAGTTATAACAACTACTTTTCTTTAGCTTCTAGTTCCAGCTTTTATCCGTTGTCAGTAATTAGGCACTGTAACAAATGCTGACAGTATATATTCTTCACCCTTTGAATGTATTTATTAACAAACCTATAGCCAAGATTTTGTCGAACCTAGCTATTGTTGATTCTGAATATTGGAAATTTCATGTGTATCAGAGTAGGACTCTACTCCCTTGAATAGGTTCTTGTTTGCATTTATTTTAATTGTGGTACAAATGTACACAACAAAATATTCACCAATTCAATAATTTTTATATGCAAAATTGAGTCATACCAGTGTCTACATGTGACACAAATCTCATGCCTATTTTCTACCACCAGTATTGCAAACTCAAGACACATGTGCTGGGCAGGTAGCAATACTGAATCTACTGGTCACGTCTATAATTAGATAAATGTCTTTAGTCTGCTTCTTTCTGTAAACTTTTTGTCTGTCAAATATTATTCTAAAAATATCAAGCAGACTAGGAAGAAGGATTGGCCATCCACTTGCAAAATAACTGGTCTTCGAAAAACCCTAAGTACAATTGAGCCCACTTAGACTAGCAGATGTGGCAACTGAGGCTGAGATCTCAAATATGGAAACACAAAGGAGGAGGAACAGTTGTAAGCAGACACCAGTGATTAGAACGTGGAATGTGAGAAGCATGAATGTAGGAAAATTGGACATTGTTAAAAAAGAAATGGAACACATAAATATTGACATACTAGGTATTCGGGAAGTGAGATGGTTTGGCATGGGACATTTTGAATCAGATGATCATATGATCTTCTATGCTGGAGATGAAAAGGTGAGAAAAAGGGAAGTTGCTTTCATAATTAAAAAAAATAATTTCTAGATTCATCTTGAAATATAATGTGGTGAGTGACAGTAAACTATCCATATGCATATAAAAAAGTCCAATAAATACCATGATCATTCAAATAAAGGCACAGATAACTAAGAAGCCAAAGAAGAGGAAATAGAAGATTTGTACCAACATTTACAGTCATAAATCAATCGATCATACAATCAAGATTCATTAATAATAATGGGTTACTGGAATACAAAATTTGGGAACAGGGAAGAAAGATTAGTATTTCCCATGTTGGAAAACATGGATTTGGTGACAAAAATGAAGCTAGAGAAAGAATGATAAAATTCTGCACACTCAATTATTTACTCTTTGCAAATTCCTTTTACAAGAAATACTAACACAGGCTATACACATGGATTTCACCTGATGGTATGCATAGGAATCAAATCGATTATATCTGTGGAAAGAATCTCTGGAGAAGCTCAATATCAGCTGTGAAAACTAGGCCAGGTGCTGACTGTGGAACAGACCACCAACTACTCATTGCAAGTTCAAGCTGAAGTTGAAGAAAATGAAATCTACATGAACCAAAATTTGACCTTAAGTCTATCCCACTTGAATTTCAAAACCATCTCAGAAACAGATTTGAGGCTTGAACACCAATGAGCAAAGATATCAAGGATGTGGAAGGATATCAAGAATATAATCCATGAAGAACACAAACTGTCATTACAAAGGTAGAGGACCAAGATAGATGTCAGATGAGACCCTGAATATTGCACTAGAGCTCTGAGAAGCCAAAGCTAAGGGAAGAAACCAAGAAATTAAGGAGCTGAAAGAAAGATTTCAAAGAGCAGCTTGGGAAGAAAAAAGTTTTATAATGAAATGTGCAAAGAGCAGGAGTTGGAAAATCAAAAGGACCAAACTTACTCAGCATTTTTTAAGATGAAGGGATTGAAAAACAAACTCAAGCCTCGAGATGCAATACTTAATGATGCTTTGGGCAGAATATTAGGTGATCCAAGAAGCTTTAAAAGAACATGGAAGGAGTATACAAAGTCACTGAACCAGGAGGAATTGGCTGACACAGAAGAGTTTCAGGAAAAAGCGTATGAGCAAGAGCCTGTGATGATGAAGGAAGAAGTTCAAGCTGCTCTGAAAGAATTGGCAAAAAAAAAAACACACCCCAAGGCCCCAGGAATGGAAGGCGTACCAATTGCCATATTTCAACAAACAGTTGCTGCCCAGGATGTGCGCACTAAGTTGTGCTGAGAAATCTGGATGACAACTACCTGGCCAATTGACTGGAAGAGATTGATATTGTTCGCAGTCCAAAGAGAGGTGACCCGGCAGATTGCAGAAATTAAATCAAACAATATCATTAATATGACATGCAAGCAAGATTCTGCTGAAGATTATCCTAAAATGACTGGAGCAGGCATATCAGCAGAGAACTGCCAGATGCGCAGGCTGGGTTTAGAAAAGAGGCAGGGGCACTAGGGATATTATAGCTAAAGTAAGATGGATCTTGGCTGAAAGCCGAGAGTACCAAAGGAAAGTCTATCTGTGTTTCATTGACTATGCAAAGGCATTTGACTGTGTGGATCACAACAAACTGTGACTGACTCAGAGAACGATGGGAATCCCAGAACTTTTGATTGTGCTTATTTATGCAAAACCTATACTAGGACCAGGAGGCAGTCATCAGAACAGAGCAAGGAGACACTGCATGGTTCAAAATTAAGAAGGGTGTACACCAGGGATGTATTCCATCTCCATACCTTTCAGTCTTTTTATAGACAGATCATCTGGGAGGCTGGGCTATATGAGGAGAAGTGTGGAATCAGAATTGGAGGAAGATTCATCAACAACCTGTCTTATGCAGATGACACAACCCTGCTTGCTGAAACTGAGGAAAACTTGAAGCACTTGTTGCAGAAGATCAAGGACTGCAGCCTTTAATATGGATTGAAGCTCAACATCAAGAAAACAAAGATTCTCTACAATCGCAGAGGTGCGCGGTTCGAATCCACCAGATGCTGCCGGGGAAGGAGGGGCAATCTCCTCCTGTACCAGTCAGATCTGATTTGATGGTACACGCACACAAAAATTAAAAAAAAAAAATTTAAAAAGAAAAGAAAGATTCTCACCACTGGGCCAATTGGCAGCTTCATAATGGATGGTTGAAGAGATAGAGATTGTTACCAGCTTTAGTTTGCTTTGTTCCACAGTCAGCACTCTTGGTACCAGCAACCAGGAAATCAAGAGATGAATTGCATTGGGAAATCAGCTGTCAGAGACCTCTCCAATGACGTCAGTCTGGATACTAAGGTGTGCCTGATCCCAGCCATACTTTTGACAGTTGCCTGGTATGTGTCAGAGAGCTGAACTAGGGATGATAGGAAGAATTGATGCCTTTGAGCTGTGGTAATGGAGAAGAGTGTTGAGTATACTATGGACTGCCAGGAGATCAAACAGGTTTGTCCTGGAGAAGGTGAAGCCAGCTTGGAGGCAAGGATTCGGAGGCTTCGTCTGACATACTTTGAGCATATTGCAAGGAGGGACCTTGTCCTTGGAGAGGGACATCGTGCTTGGAAGGGTGGAGGGACAGAGGAGAGGGAGATCGTCAATGAGATGGACTGATGAGGGTAAGTATGTCAGAGGCAGTAAAGTTGGCACAAGATAGAGCTGGCTTCAGGGCTGTTGTACATGCTGAGTCACACCTAATTCCACCCTTTTTTATCTCCTTACCCTCTTCAATATGGAGCTCTGGTGGCCTATTGGCAAAGAAGCTTCACTGCAATCCCAGAGGACATGGTTTGAGGACACCATGTGCTCCGCTGGAGAAGTATACACAATCTTCTCCTGTGGGTTTAAGTGCCCCTGAAAATCCACTGGAGGGTCAGTTATGGGTCAGTTCCGACTCTACGGTATACAACAACAAATATATATATAAATGTGTGTGTGTATTCTTGACAGTGCATGGTATGTTTGTTCAATACTCTTCTGCAGCACCAGAAACATATATATGTGTATGTAATAAGTAAGGTAATTTGAGTGATTTCTTTGATTCAGCATTCTTTATTCAAACTATATCCTTATTCTGTCATACATCTGAATTCCCTATTTCCTTTTGTGGGTGTGTGTTTCTTTTTAAAATATTTTTATTATTAATTTTTTATACATGTACGTTGTCATTTATACAATCATTCATATACACTGTACTTTTATAATTAATTACTAGTTGGACAATGACTAGGGAGGATAGAAGGAGAATTGATGCCTTTGAGCTATGGTGCTGAAGAAGAGTATTCAGTGTAACCATGGACACTGTGAGATTGTGAGGATGGTACAGGATAGAGCAAGAGTTAGATCTGTTGTTCAGAGGGTTGCTGTGAGTTATAATCAACTCGATGGTGTCTAACAATAACAGCAGGAGAGTGTGTGTGTGTGTGTGTGTGTGTGTGTGTGTGTGTGTGTGTGTATCCACATCGTCTGAATCCACCAACTTCTCTGCAGGAGAAGGATGGGCAATCACTTCCCTTATGATTTACAACCTCTGAAAACCCACTGGATGGTCAGATATGGATTAATTCTGATTCAGTGAATATAACAACAGCAACATACACATACATATATACACCACATGTTTTATCTGTTTATTCCATAGGCTGTAAAGTTGATCACTGTGCATTTTTTTCCAAGTGTCCCTGGGTAGGTTCCATTCTCCCAGTTTTCGATTAACAACTGAACACTCTAATACCAGGTCTCCTTATAGATTTCTTTTCTGAAGTCTAGTTTCACACTTTTTTACTTGCTAGTATACTTTAAATTCAATAAAGGTGTAGTAGCAAAGTTGACACTCAACTGTATCTACATAAACACACAATAAGCTTCAAAAAAAAGTGTTTGGTTTGATTTTGTCTCCTGTTAGCAAGTTCGTTTTAATTTCAGAATCTGAGGTAATTTACACCTACTTCAGGACAATACCTCTTTGGTGGCATACTGCTAGCCTGGGTCCAGCAAAGACCTTTGTAATTTTCAAGATTGGAGCAAAATCATTATTCATTCTCCTAGGTGTGCGAATCCTTGAATGAGTGTTATCATATTTGTTATTGTTGTTGTGTACCACAGAGCGGGAACCAGCCCATAGCTGACCCTCCAGCAGGTTTTCAGAAGTAATTAATCATTTGGGAGGAGATTGTCCATCTTTCTCCCGCTGAGCATCTGGTGGCCTTGAACTGCCTGCCTTCAAGATTGCAATGCAGATTCTTGCTACTAGGCCACCATAGGGTTTCTTATTTTTAAAGGAATCCTTGTTAAAATGCATCATTGCTGATCGAAAGGTCAGCTGTTAGGCCCCAGCTGCCTTTCCAGAGGAAAAGAGGAAGCTGTCTGCTTCCATGAGGATATATACCTTTGGAAACTCCACAGTACAGTTATTTCTCGTCTGTCCTAGAGGGGTGCTGTGAGTCAGAATATGCAACATAAACAAATTTGGTTTTGGTTTATGTCTTTCAAGCACTATATCGTACAGCAAGCAGTCCCAGATATGATCTGGGCAGCCAGGAAAAGTATTTCACATAACCTCTCAAGAAAGGAATTGGTAAGATTCTTCTTGTTGGAAGTTCTTTACTTCCTGTAACATTTCCAGTGTAAAGGATGCAGGGCGTTGTAATCCCTGGGTTATGTGCCTGAACTTCCATATCTGTCACATTCTTTCTCTACTGGATTGACTGTCATCTAATTAGGAATTCAACCAGGCAAAACACAGGCCAAATAAATTCAGTATTTATATCTATCACAATGTCTGTCACAACAGGATTTTTGTGAAAAAGACAAAATATTCTTAAAGAGGGAAAAAAAAATACTTGAGCACAGTAAATAACGCCTAACATTTTTGAAAACCCTTACCATCCTAACAACCATTGTAACACTCTGATAGTTTAGTCCATATGGAGTTGCCCTGCAAATCCAAGGCCACCCCTTTCTGACTATTCAAATTCACCCGTCAGCTCCATAAGAGAAAGACTGGCAGTTTCCTCCTGTGTGATTTTTACAGCCCAGAAATACAGTGGAGGATCAGCTAAGAGCCATTTCTGACTCGACAGCAATGATTTTAAGTTCTTTGAAGATTCAAATTCAGAATGCATAAAATGTAAACTTTAATTCAGCTGTTATTTACCAAAGGATATATCATCAGAAGGCATAAGTATAAAATGACTTAGAGAACCCAAAAGTTAAACTTGTGTTATACTCAGTATTTCAGGTAGAACTTTCAGATGTTTAGTGTTAAGAGGTGTCTGGAGGAAAAAATTCTTAGAATCAGGGAACATTTTCAATCCTCAAGCATCCAATACTTATGACCATGAAGATAAAAATTAGATTATATCTATGTCGATGCTTCATCTGGGTCATTAATGGAAGTGATTTCCAAATGAACATTTTCCTCTTCTCTGATCTGACATGACTTTTTTGTAATTTTAGACTTCAAGCCATGGAAACTGGGGGTCTTGGGGTCCCTGGGGCCAATGTTCTCGCTCTTGTGGAGGAGGAGTTCAGTTTGCCTATCGCCACTGCAATAACCCTGCTCCCAGAAACAGTGGCCGCTACTGCACCGGGAAGAGGGCGATCTACCGTTCCTGTAGCGTCGTCCCCTGTCCCCCCAGTGGTAAGCAGTTACTACAAGGAAAGCTTTCTTTGTATTCTAGCACTCATAAATGGGCTGGGCAAGTGGGCTTAACTAGATGATTCCACCTATGTACAAGTCAGTGAAAAAAAAAGACATCAATTTTAGTTTTAGTGTTCAGGGATTTGGAAGAAAATAGCTGCTGCTTTTAACTATATATAGCTTGATAAATTTTTTCAGCAATGATACATAAAGAACATCCACTAGGAGAAAATAAAACAATATTTTCTTGTTAAATAGAAATTCTTGTTAGAAATATTCGGATATATCTAAGTTTAGAACAAATAAAATAATGTCAAATCTTTGTTTCTTAGGTAAATCTTTTCGTCATGAGCAATGTGAAGCCAAAAATGGCTATCAGTCAGATGCCAAAGGAGTGAAAGTATTTGTGGAATGGGTTCCCAAATATGCAGGTATCCTGCCGGGGGACGTGTGCAAGCTGACCTGTAGAGCAAAGGGAACTGGCTACTACGTGGTCTTTTCTCCAAAGGTAACCACACACCAGCTGTCTAAAGTCCTGGGTGACTAAAGGACTGGTAGACTCGAAGCCAGATACTACCTTAGCATTATTTTCTTAATGATTTGATTCAAACTTACTAGACTCGACTGATAGCTGACCCTTCATTAGGTTTCCAGTTCTGTAAATCCCAGAGAAACAGGTACACAGCTTTCTCCCATGGAGCCACTGTTGGATTCGATCCACCAGCGAGGTGTGACCTTTAGGTTAGTGAACAACTCCCTACAGACTAAGTCACCAGAGCTCCTTGGTGATTACGTTAAGAAGAATTTTGTTTTCACCGTTATAAAATCCATTATTTTCAAGCTCTGTACAATTGAAATTATAAACAGAAAAAGCAACTGTCTAATTTTTTTAGCATACTGTGAAAGAAGGGAAGGTATGATCTTTTAAATAACCATGAAGACAAGTACATTTCCTATTTAAAAAAAAAAAGAATGAAGTACATTTATTAGCCTATTTAAAAATTAGAAGAATATTTTCTTATTTTATCTATCATTTACATAAGAATTTGTTTTCACTCTTGAAGCTAGGTTTCAGGCTTACCTCTGGGGCCAGACTTCTAAATAAGTCTTGCACCTTTAACCTGAATCTTGACTTATAAGTGAGCATTATCTCCTATTATTTTTTTCAAATGATCAATAATTTTTAAATTATTACACTTTTATTTCTTAAAATGAATCTTTTGCTGCTATCTGTCATCAAGTGAAAACCCACTCATAGCTGATCCTATAGTAAGATTATAGAGGCTATAAAATGCTTGAGAGGAGATTGTTCATCTCTCTCTCACAGTGCAGCTGGTGGATTCAAATTGCCTACCTTTGGGTTGTCAGCACCATTATGCCTCGAGGCCATCAGAGCTCCCTTGTTTTGTAACAATTTAAAAATAATGGTTATCTGATTTGCCAACTTTCTTACAGGGAACATCCTGGAGGATTTAAACCATCAACCTTTTAGTTAGTAGCCAAGCACCACCCAGGGACTTTCTACTGATAGGGCAAGATTCTGATCTGTTGTTGTTCATAGGGTTGCTAAAAGTCATGACTGACTGAATGGCACCTAACAACAATAGTTTGCCAATAGATGTTACTTTTTTTAAAAGCTTATAAACCTGACTTTTGGTTATTTATGAAATTTTATTGCAAATAAGCTAATGTCTAATTTCAAGAATTTAAAAATATTACACCTGTTTACCGTAAAAATACTACATTTTCACTTTAAAAATACTTCAGAGCTAGAACAACAAAACAAATCACCTAGGTGTTTCTTACCATTTATAGATAAATGCTATTAACTTGTGGAAGTAGATTCTATTTTGGTAAACATACACTGACTCAGACTTACATGTGTGAAAAGAGAGCATTAACCAATATATTCACATTTGAACTGATTTCTTTCACTCAGCATGTTTTCGCAGTTCGCCTATGCTGTATCATGTAGCAGAACTTAACTTTGTTTATGACTGAGTAGTGTTCTACTGTATGCTTATACCAGATTTTGTTATCCCTTCATCTACTGATGGGCATTTAGATTGCTCCTAACATAAGGATTTTTCTTAAGATGCTCCGAAGAATCTCTTGACTAAATCAATGTAATTATTTTTAGGTTATGTTTTTGTTTTCCTTTTCATTGTATCATCTGATATAATAAATCTCAGAACTCATATATAAGTATCTCAGAGTATGCAGAGACTGTCTATTGACACTCTGATCACTGATCATCAGACAGTGCCCTGGAAGAAAGGCTTGGCAATCTATTTCCATAGATAGTGCTGTTCAGTCCATTTCAGCTCATCATAATACCAGGTAACAGAGTGAGATTGCCCTATATTTTTCTAAACTCTAATCTTTACACAGGTTGCTAGATCTTTGTCCCGTGAGCTATTGAATGGGTTTGTACAGGCAGCGTTCAGGTTAGCAGCCAGGCACTTACCTATTTCACCACTAGGGCTTCTTCATACAAATCCAAAACTCAACTCATTGATAATGAATCAGAACTGACTCATAGTTGACCCTTCTTTGATTTTTCAAAGGTGGTAAATCACAAGGGATGAAATTGCCTGTTTCCGGAAGAGTTGGTAGATTCGAACTGTGCACATTTGGGTTGACATCACAACTCCCTAACTACTATGCCACCAGAGCTCCCCTATGTATAAATTCTATTCAAGGAAAACGTATTGAGCAGCTCTACTCTGTAATGCATGTGGTCACCATGTTTCAATCAACTTCAGAACAGCAGATTTGATTTTAATTTTGTTGATTGAAAGGACCGGTGCTTATATTCAAAAGCTGCACCCTTACAGTGAGTCTTTCATTCTTCAGGTGACGGATGGCACTGAATGCCGGCCATACAGTAATTCTGTCTGTGTTCGAGGGAAGTGTGTGCGCACTGGCTGTGACGGCATCATTGGCTCCAAGCTGCAGTATGACAAGTGCGGTGTCTGTGGAGGAGACAATTCCAGTTGTACAAAAGTTATTGGAACCTTCAACAAGAAAAGGTAATATAACAAGTATTCTTATATGCATTGACCCCTTGTGAAGCTCTTGTGAAAATGATAAACAGGGGACCCCTGTTCCGGACAATAACTGTAAGAAGGAGGAGGAGATCTAGCATGACTCTGGTTGTTGTTGTTATGTGCCGTCACTTGCAACTTGTAGCAACCCTAAGTACAACAGTCCTGAACTCTGCTATATCCTGAGCCAACCTTATTGTCTAAGACACACCTACTCCCATTACCCCAGTCACTGAGTCAATCCATCCCATCCAGAGTCTTCCTCTCCTGTGCTGTCCCTCCATCCTCCCAAGCATGATGTTCCTCTCCAAGGACTGGTCCTTCCTTGCAACATGACCAAAGTATGTCAGACTGAGCTTCAGAATCCTTGATCTTATATATAATAAAGCAAATAATAAACCACCTTTGTGATCTTTTATATACTTGAGCCCACTTCCCAGATTACAGTGTCAATCCATGTCATTTTACAATAGAGTCACTTATAAAGCTAGATGAACAAGACTATAATTGATGAGGAAATGATCAGATTAAATATTATCAATGAATTATCTTGACCTATTTTATTTAGAAGAAAGAATATTGATTTTTGCAGAGAAAATATTTTTTTAATATTTTATTGGTTTTCATACAATAACTACATTATGTTATATTCATATTAATTGTGTTTTATGTAATATTTCATTTACATTGTGTTTCATACAATTATTCATATACATTTTTGTTTGGTTTTTATTTTATACTGGTTTATTAACAAAGTTCAAATACATTGTTTTCACACTGGATATTTTCTATTTCCTGTGACAGCCAAAATCTTTTAATTCAATTTCTGGGTTTTTTTACCAACAGCTGTGTTATCTCTGATGGAACCCCACTAGAACACTTGTTCTCTGAGGACATGATTCATTGGTGTTGTTTAGGTATCCAGGTATTGAGTCCACTTTATTCATAGTGACTCTGTGTACAACAGATACAAACTTTGCTCTGTACTGAGCCATCCTCATGATCTTTGCTGTCGTCACACCTATTGTTTCAGTCACTGTATCAATGTATCTCAAAGAAGTTCTCCTTTTGATTTGACCCTTCACATTTCCAAGCATGATATCTTTTTTCTTATCTGAAAAAGACATCATGCTTGGAAATGTGAAGGATCAGATAAAGAGACAATATACTCAAAGTATGTTAAAAAAAATCTCACCATCCTTGCCTCTAAGAACAACTCTGGCTACACTCTTTCAAAAGATAGATTTATTAGTTCTTTTAGAATTTGCTATTTTATTTCATATTCTTCACAAACACCTCAGTTCAAAGGTATTGATTATTCTTTGGTCTTTTACATTAATTTTCCTACTTTCACGTGCATGTGAAATATTTGAAAATACTGTAGCTTCGGTGTGGCATGCCTTAGGCTTTAAACTGGAATTCTTACTCTTCAGCAGTTTAAAGAGGTCCTAGACAACACATTTGCCCATTGCAACATGTCTTTTGATTTCTTAACTGTTCCAACCATGGATGTTGGCTGTGGAGCCAAGTAAAGTGAAATCTTTGACAACTTCAATCTTTTCATGAGGCTCTGATGGTTTAGTTGGACTGCCAAACTAAAGGCACTCAATTTTAATCCACCTACTGCTCCGTGGGAGAAAGATTGGCAATCTCATCTCATGCCGTTTACTGCCTCAGAAAATTCACTGCAGGGAACTGTGAGTCAATTCCAACTTGAACGCACACAAAAGCATCACAAGTGAGATTATTTACTGATCTTATGGTGGAGATTTTTGTTTTCTTAATGTTTGGGTATAATCTACACTGAAGATTTTAGATTTTGATCTTCAGTAAATGCTTCAAGTCTTCTTCACTTTTAGCAAGCACGATTGTGTCATCTGTGTAACAAAGTGTTCATGAGTCTTCCTGCAATCCAGATGCTAAATCCTTCTTCGTATAGTCCAGCACACAAATTGAATAGGTAAAAATCCTCATTATTGGACCTATAGGCAACATCATAGTAAATAGAGAAAAGATGGGAATGGTTAACAATTCCATCTGGCTTAGATTCACAATCAACTCCTTTGGCACTAGCAGGTTTTTTGTTTTATTTTTTACTTAATACTTTATTTTTTAACATTTTATTTTAGTTGGTTGTGGAGGTGATTTTTCCTTGTTGTGTACCATCGAGTCAGATCCAACCGGCATAGGAGGCAATTGCCTCTCCTTCTCCACTGGAGCATCTAGAGTATGATCTAATTTATATGGAATAGGCAAATAAACTAGAATTTATTAATAATACCAAGGATGGTAGGAATGGAAAACAGGGGACATATTGCTTAAGATATATTGAGTTTCTGTTAAAGGGTTTTTAAAAAAAAATTTACTCTTTTTTTATTGTGATTTTAGTGAAACCTTATAAAAAGATTAGTTTTCATTCATTCATTCATACACATTTTTCTCCCTCTGTCTCCTCCATGTTACCTCATAATGTTTGTCCTGTGCAAGGTTGTTGTAATACATATCTGATTATCTAATTGTGAAACATATAATATCCATTCCTTCCAGATTGTCCTTCCCTACAGCGCAGTGGTCATTCTGTATCAATTCTTTTCCTGCACGCCTCCCACCTCATATCTATCCTATTATTATAACATTGTTCATATGCAGTATTTGTCATTTTATGACCTAATATTTTACTCTGCATACTGTCTTCTGGGGAACTCTGGTAGCTTAGTGGTAAGATGAGCTGGGAACCCAAAGGTATATTACTTGAATCCACCAGGTGCTGCTCTGGAGAAAGATGGGCAGTTTCTTCCTTTGTGATTAATGCCTGTGAAAACCCTTTGGAGGATCAGCTCTGGGTTGGTTCCAACTCTGTGGTAAACAGCAACAGTGTCTTCCAGACGCATCCGTGCTGTGGAGTTTCATAGATTTTTTTTTCACTATTTGTTTTAATGATATTTTACTTTATGTATGAGGTTATTGATGTCATTTTACAACTCATCTCTGATCTTTGGTCATGAATGATCAATCCATCAAATCGTGAGGGTTTTTTTGTTAATTTAAGTGCTAAACATTCAAGATCATAGTTTTGCATTTGTGAGGTGGGTTTTTTTGGGGTGGCATTTTTTTGTTGTTTCTTTGTTTAGTTTTTTCAGCTTCAGTTAATTTTTAGCTGAGAAATTGATAAACTTTTCCTCAGTTGGGATTGTTCTTACTACTGATACTGAGCTTTTATATTGTCTTTGTCCACAAATATAGTCAGTCTGATTCTTGTGTATTCCATCTATTGTGGTCCATGTAATAGTTACCACTTATATTTTTCTCAAGAAGATATTTCTAATGAATAGATAGATCATTGATTATATAAAATTCTCTCATATAGTCGCCTCATTTCTGTCAATAAGTTCATATTTTTCTAATGACTGGTCCTTCTGTTTCCAAATTTTACATTTTAGACACCAATTACTATTGATGCATCTTTGTTGCATATTTGATCAATTTTCAGACTGCAGAAGATTGTAGAAATCCTCAAATTCTTCATCATTTACTTTAATGGTTGATGGGCTTACTTTCATAATAGTCACACTAGCAAGTATTCCCTGTGTTGACTGGATTTTATCCTATAACAGTGTTGTCCTTCAGGACAGATGTAGAAATATTCTTTTTGATGATGAACATGTCACTTTCCCTCTTCAATTTGTTGTTCTTGACATGGTGGAATTTATGAATAACTAGGGATAATAGAAGAATTGATGCCTTTGATTTGTCGTGCTGGAGAAGAGTATTGTATATACTATGAACTGCTAGGAGAACAAACAAGTTCATCGTGGAGAGGGTGAAACCACACTGCTCCTTGCAGGCAAGGATTCTAAAGCTCTATCTGGCATACTTTGGGCATGATGCAAGGAGAGACCAGTCCTTGGAGAGGGACATCATGCTTGTGAGAGTGGAGGGACAGTGCATGAGAATAAGACCCTAGATGAGATAGAATGACTCAGTGATTGTGGGGAATAGGAGTGAGTATGTCAGAGATGATAAGGTTGGTTCAGGGTAGAGCAGAGTTTAGAGCTGTTGTACGTAGGGTCGCAGTGAGTCACAACTGACTTGATGGCACTTAACAAAAATAATAGCAACATGATTGATTCAAAATGGCCAATGCTAGGCCATTTTGTACCATTAATGCCTAGGATGGCCACCTCTTATACTTTCCATTTCATTTTTTACAACTTTCAGTTTTTCTAGATTCATACTTCTTGCATTCTACATTCTACTTATTAGTGAATGTTTGCAGGTTTTTCTCCTCATTTTTTGTTTGAGTAAAAGTTTACAAATCATACAAGTTTTTCATTCAATCATTAATAGATACTATATTTTGTAACAATTATAATTGATTAATGAGATTAATTTAGTACAATGTCTAATAAAACTCTTATTGTATATTGCCTTTCCCTTTATCCAACATATCTATTTTCTTTTTCATTTTCTAGTGTTCTCCATAAGATTTTCATTGACTAATTTACAGAAGTAGATCACCAGATCTTTTCTACTAGCCTGTCTTATTGTGGAAGCTCTGCTGAAATATCCACCATGGGTGACTGCTGATGTTAGAAATGCTGAAGGCTTACCTTGTAATAGCAAGGAAACCATCACGATATAGCTGACAGATGGGTGATGGTAAATGCTTCATCATAGCTGCTTAGATGCCATCCAGCCTGCTCTAATCTACGATGACCCTCTGGACAATAGAAGGAAACCCTGCTCCGTTCTGCCCCATCCTCACTCTGCCTTAGCCCATTATTGCAACTGCTATGTTACTCTGTCCCAGTGAGGATCTCTTTTGAAAAGACTTAATTTTACCAAACATTATATCTTTCTCCAGGGACTGTCTTCTTATAGCATGCCCCACATTATGTGAGACAAAGTCTTTACCATTCTAAGGAGCTTTCTGACTGACTTTCTTCCAAGACAATTTTCCATTGTTCTTTTGGCAATATAACATATTCAATATTCTTTGCCAACAGCTTGATCTAAAACAACTCTATTCATTTATCACTGCAGGAAATGTATAGGATTTAAACAGTACCAAGGAAGATTAAAAAAAATTAAAATGCAAAAATACTCATATTTTATTAACTGAAAATTAAAAACCTGTTGCCACTGAGTCAGTTCTGACTCTCAGTGACCCTGGGATGTATTACAAAAGTAAAACCTGTAGAAATGGTTTGATAGAATAAGCGACATCCTTTATACCTCACCTTGTATTTTCTCAGTATAGGAAGCTCTTACACCTGTTTGTTGTTGTTGTTGTTGTTGTTGGATGTAAAAAGCTTGGTGGGCAAGGGGGCCCCCTATCTCACTGTGGATAAGCCCTTCTTTATGTGAAACCAAAACTTTGAGCTTCAGGAATACATTTGACTTTGTAGCTTAATACTCATCTTCCCTTGAATAAGAACTTGAAGTCAGATAATCAAATTTGAGCCTCATAAGATTCAGATAATCAAATTTGAGCCTCATAAGACTCTATAAATAATAATTGTTGTTGTTGTTGATTGTCATCGAGTTGAGCACGACTCATAGTGAACCTATGAACAAAAGACCTGAAATCTTTCTATTACTATCGTTCTTTCTCTTTCTCAAAGTCATATTTCTATATAAATAGCTAATAAAGTGAAGGATATTAGAACCAAATTATGAAACTGCCTACGGAATCCAAGATTTTAGCAACAGATAATTATTCTTTGGCCATATAGTTCCTTGTTGCTTAATTAGTATTACTTTCAGAGTATTTCTTACAGTTTACGGATCTTGTTTGGTAGAGTAGATAGAGGGTCAGCAAAGGTAAAAGAAACTTTCAATAAGATGAATTGATAACTGCTTAGTTAGAGCCTACTTGATAGCAGTGGGTTTGGGTTTTAGATGCCTTTGACTATTTTTCTGAATAGATAATGTGCTATTGTTGTTGTTATGTGCCACTGAGTCACCTGTAACTCATAGCAACCCTATGTACAACAGCCCTAAACCCTGCTCTATCATTTGCCAGTCTTATTGTCTCTGACACACCTATCCCCATTGCCTCAGTGACTAAATCAATCTATCTCATCGAGGGTCTTCCTCTCCTATGCTGTCCCTCCCAAGCATGACATCTCTCTCCGAGGACTGAGCCTGCTTTGCAACATGTCCAAAGTATGTCAGATGAAGCTTCAGAATCCTTGCCTTCGAGGAGCAGCCTAGTTTCACCCTCTCCGGGACAAACTTGTTTGTTCACCTAGCAGTCCATAGTATGTTCAGTACTCTTCTTCAGCACCACAGCTCAAAGGCATCAACTCTCTCCTTTTATCATCCCTAGTCATTATCCAGCTCTCTGATGCATACGAGGTAACTGCAAAGACCATGGCCTGTATCAAGAATATCTTAGTCTACCGACTGATATCATTGCTCTTCAGTACTTGGAAGATATCTCAGACAGCAGACTTTCCCAATGCAGTCTTTTAGTTTCCTGGCTGCTGGTAACAAGAGTGTTGATTGTAGAGCTAAGCAAACTGAAGCTGTCAACAATCTCAATCTCTTCACCATCTATCATAATACTGGCAATCGGCCCAGTGGTGAAAATATGTTTTCTTGATATTAAGACTCAATTCCTATTGAAGGCTGCAGTCCTTGACCTTCTGGAGCAAGTGTTTCAGGTCCTCCTCAGTTTCGGGAAGCAGGGTTGTGTCACCTGCATAACACAGATTTTTTATAATCTTCCACCAATCCTGACACAACACTTCTCCTCATAGAGCCCAGCCTCCCAGATAATCTGTTCCGCATATAGATTGAAAAGTTATGGAGATAGGGCACATCCTTGTCACACACCCTTTCCAATTTTTGAAACACACAATGTTTCCTTGTTCTGTGTGATTAGAGACCCTGTATTCTTTGATATCTCACTTGATTTACCATAATGTTCTATGGACCATGAGCACTGAGATTCAGGGACAAATCCTAAGACAAGAAAAATTCACTTCTTTCCCTTTATAAAAAGGAAAAATTATTGTTCAATTATAGGATTTTATCTTTTTTTTTCCTTTGCCTTGCCTAAGAAATACAAAGTTCTAGTAGAAATAGAAATAGAGCTTCCACTCTGTCTCTAGTCAGAAACCATCAGTCCATGGTTCCCAAATCTAGGCTAACATTGGAACAGTCAGTGGGATTTAAACAGTCTGGTTGTCTGTATATTACCCTGAAATTCTATGATTAAATTGATTTGAGCTGTGACCTTATTCTAGGGATTTTAAATGTATCTTAGTGATTCACATGTAAAGAAAAGTTTGAGATTACTATTTCAGAAATTTTCGCATAAGGAGAAAGATCCAGTGTGAAAAACAATGTATATGAGCTTGGTATTTAAACCAGTATAAAAAAAATTCATAAGATTATTTGAGGTAGATTTTTCTTATTTTGTGTTTATATATGTGTAGTTTTGTGCCAGAAAGAAATATATTTATCAATATAGTATTTATTTGATAAGGATAGTGGTATTTCCATAAATATTTAAAGTTTATATAAATTTTAAAGTGCAAATCAACTCAATGAAAATATCAAGATATGGGGAGCTCTGGTGGCCTAGTAGTAAGGAGCTGCAATTACAATCCCAGAGGCTCACGGTTTGAATCCACCAGATGCTCTGCCGGGGAAGGAGGGACAATCTCCTCCTGTACCAGTCAGATCTGATTTGATGGTACACTCACACAAAAATAATAAAATAAAATTTTAAAAAAAACACAGCTCTGTTAAAAAAGAAATCAAGATATGTTTATATTGTTGTTATGTGCCATCAGGTTACTTGCGACTCAAAATGACCCTGTGTACAACAGCCCTAAACCCTGCTCTATCCTGTGCCAATCTAATTGTCTCTAATACACCTTTCCCTATTACCCTAGTCACTGCACCAATCCATCTCATTGCGGGTCTTCCTCTCTTATGCTGTCCCTCCACACTCCCAAGCATGGCATCCTTCTCCAAGGACTGGTCCCTCCTTGCAACATGCCCAAATTATGTCATCCAAAGCTTTAGAATTCTTGCCTCCAAGGAAAAGCCTGGTCTCACCCTCGCTAGGACAAATCTGCTTGTTCTTCTAGTGGTTTATGGTATATGCAATACTCTTCTCTAGCACCACAGCTCAAAGGCATCAGTTCTCCTTCTGTTATCCTTAGTCATTGTCTAGCTTTCTGACACATAGCATGAATTACAAAGACTATGGCCTGGATTAGGTGCACCTTAGTCTCCAGACTGACATCATTGCTTTTCAGCACTTTGGACCAGTCTCTGACAGCAGACTTTCCCAATATAATTCGTCTTATGATTTCCTTGCTGCTGCTTCCAAGAGTACTGATTTTGGAGCCAAGCAAACTAAAGCTGTTAACAATCTCAATCTCTTCACCATCTATTATGATGCTGTTGTTATCCTAAATCTATATACTTATATATATATATATACTTATCTAATGGAGTTGACCACAGGGAGTTGCACTGCTAAGCCAAAAGCTGTACCTCCCTGGTAATTTGAATCCACCAGTGGTTCCTTGGGTGAAAGATGGATGCTCTTTCTCTTTTGCTATTTACAGCCTCAGAAAAAAATAGAGGGTCAGCTATGAGTTGGTTCTACCTCTATAGCAATGAGTTTAAGTGTTTTATATCTATTTATAGATATATACAGATATCTATCTCTCTCTCTTTCTAGCTGTCTAGTTATCTGGTTGTCTGTCTATCTAATATCTGTGTATCTGTCTATCTGTCTATATTTAGAGGGCTCTGGTAGTCTAGTGGCAAGAAATCTTATTGCTGACATAAATACAGCAAGTTCTAATCCACCAGCTGCTCCATGGGGGAAAGATGGACAGTCTCCTCCCATGCAGTTTACAATCTGAAAACTAGGTGGAGGGTCAGTAATTAGTCAGTTCTGACATGATGGCACTTAACAACAGTATGTGCATATATCTATCTGAACCTATAAGAATAATATGATTATCTGACTGTAATTGTATTTTCTCCTAAAAAATTCACTTTAAAGCCAATTTTAAATGAATCATTTAAATGCATTAAGGCTTTGTATAAGGATCTCTGTTTACCCATCTGTCTTTAAATGTTTAATTAATTCTTCTTCTATCTCTCTCCATGTTTATTTCATGGGCCTTCCTGATTCCAGTAAGGGTTACACAGATGTTGTGAGGATCCCAGAAGGGGCAACCCACATAAAAGTCCGGCAATTCAAAGCCAAAGACCAGACCAGATTCACTGCCTACTTAGCTCTAAAAAAGAAAAATGGTGAGTACCTCATCAATGGAAAATACATGATCTCCACTTCAGAAACAATCGTTGATATCAATGGAACAGTCATGAACTACAGCGGCTGGAGCCACAGGGATGACTTCTTGCATGGGATGGGCTATGCAGCCACCAAGGAAATTCTAATAGTGCAGATTCTTGCCACAGACCCAACTAAAGCACTGGATGTTCGTTACAGTTTTTTTGTTCCTAAGAAATCGATGCAAAAAATAAACTCTGTCATTAACCATGGCAGCAATAAAGTGGGGTCACACACATCACAGCTGCAGTGGGTCACTGGCCCATGGCTTGCCTGTTCTAGGACCTGTGACACAGGCTGGCACACCAGGACGGTGCAGTGCCAGGATGGAAACCGGAAGCTTGCTAAGGGATGTCTGCTCTCTCAGAGACCTTCCGCATTCAAGCAGTGTTTGCTAAAGAAATGTTAGCCTGTGGTTACAAGAGTGTGCACAAAGATAACTGGAAAAGTCATCACTGATGACGTCGTGATGAATAAGCAGTCTGCCTAAAGTAACAGAGATCATGTCATTGTCAACAAGAGTCAAATTATGGGCAGAATCTGCTCTCTACAGCCAGATGAAGGTGGGCACTGCTTCCTGTAGCAACGGTGATCTTGGCATACAGTAAGACTTGGCAGTTAACAAATCCCCTGGCCTACAAGAATTAAAACACTAATGAATGTAGACTCAGGGAATATTTGAAGATGTCAGAACAATCTCCCCTTTGTCACCTACCTCTTCTAGAATGTCTTTAAAGACATTATGTTCATTTTCACCCCTGATACACACTAGCTAATTTTTACTGTTTGTAAATACATTCTTCATTGTTATGTCACTTTATATCACCTGGTTCTATTAAAAAATTGCAGTTCTATAAAAAAGTGTTTGACCAAAGTAGGTCTACAGCTATTTCAACTCTTTGCAGTTACTAGAAAGAGCTGTGGATGTTTTACTGGAAATTAAGACCTTGCTGCTGTTTTAATAAGATTTAGTGTCCTTCTGTCTACAGGATATAATATTTAAGTCAAATACCATTTTTGACAGCAAGCATCTGAGAAGCTTTCAAAAGAAAGAGAATCTCAGTGTATCTAACCATCTAAACATATAGACGGGTCCATTTATTTAAACCCATTAACTGCCTGTATTTTTTTCAGGCAGACAGCCAAACTAATGTATAATTAGTAGAGAAATATTATCTTGTGTGAGTGTATGTTTGCGTGGGTATTTTCAATATTCAAGATGACACAAAATTAGTTTTCTTATGCAAGAATTTAAAAGTAAGAAAACAAAATATTTCACTGTGTTTTCCATTTCCTTTTACACAATGGCTTTCTTCTTCTATGACTCCCATCTGATATCTCACAATGTGTAATATATATATATATATACATATAATATAAAACACACAGCAACGAGTTCCCTGTCACATTTAATACCCTCCAACACTGGTATACCTCTTACCAGCAAGCCTTTAAAATGTGTTTCTTTTTGCATGTTTTGGTAAAGGTTCTGTAAGACTTAGCAATGTGTTTTATTTTTTGTTGACTTAGTTTAATTGGACTATTAAAGGTCATTTGGCAGTTAACCATACCTAAAAGTGTTTATTATTAATAAGACTGTTTCCACACCATAGGCTTAAAGAGAAAAAAATCAGTTATATATATATATATTGATAACATAGTAAAAATTCCTCACAATTAAAAATTATTTGGTTGTACCAGTATGTGTTTGAGTGGTAAAATGTGATGCTTTTCTAGAAGTTTGTTAATTTTATTCCATTGCATGTTTAGGAAATTTAAAAGTTTGCATAGACAGCTGAAATATTTTTGCAATCAGTTGCATAAAAATCTTACTTTAAATACTAAACTGAAACCTTTCATTCCATATTTGAGAAAATCTAAGGTATTTTATTGCATTTAGGATTTCTCTTTCCTTTTGGAATATGGTAAAACCAATTATCTTTATAAAATTTTGTAATAATCATACCAAAGGTGCCTATTGCTTAAGATTTTCCTGTAATAATATTAGGAAATTGTTGCTTGAGTCCCAGTAATTTCTAATACTGTGTTTTATTATGTTTTAATATTATAAAACAACTAAGTAATTGATTTTCTATATCATATTAATTTTGGTGAGTCAAGAGAATGGGTTTCTTACTGTTTTAAATGTTAAAGTATTTCTTTGTAAGACAAATAATTATTTTCCAAAACTAATAATCATGTCTTGGAGTTTGATCAATTGACTTTACTTAAACTGTTAATTTTTTCTAAAATATCAGTTTGAGAATTGATGCTTATACAAAATTGAAAAATCTGCAGTTGTCAGTCACCAGATACTAAAGACAGGGAACAAAGCAAATCAAATCAGTCAGAAACTCCAAATAAATCATCCAACCATCTCGTTGTGCAAAAGAAATTAACAGACAAATTTTCCCCCTTTAATTGTGTTTGATTTTTAGAATAGTCTTGATCAAGTTATTAAAATATGACATATTTTATTCTATTCACAGTAACACTGAAAGTATAATTGGAGAATAAAGTAAAATTGGTGCATTATTATATCTTTTCTGGCTTTTCTAAACTGTAATCACAGATTTCAACAATTATTTATCAGTGATTCGTACTAATTTTTGCTATAGACAGAATAGTTTACACTTCTCATTGAAACAGTCCTAAAGATCTTGGACAAATAAACCACTATTCCATATCCTTAAGGCATTTTCTCTAGTATTATTTTTTTTTTTGTTATGAGCATTAATAGGTTGACTAAGGAATGTATGGCTGAACTTCTGATTTAAAAAAACAACTGAAATTCAGAAAAGTAGAGTGTATCTGTAATAATAAACAAAGAGAAAATTCTCTAAAACATAATCTAACTCTAATCCATTTTGACATTGGATTTTATCTTTTCCTTCCCATTGTTACTAATTGCATTTTCAAAAAATATACACATCAGGATATCAGGGGCTGCTTCTTAAAAGAATTTTTTTTAAACCAAAAATTCTTAGTTTGGTTAAGAATCTAATCTTACTTAAATACATAAGAAGTAAGTATTAATTAAAAAAGGAGCATGTATTTCTTGTACAGTAAAAAAGATTAAATGTTTTAATAATTACAACTTTTCTTTTTTTTGCCTTCCTGTGGAAACAGTTTTAACCCATTGAGCTAAGAATTAAGGTATTAATCATGAACAAAAAATTTTAAAGTTGCAGCACTGAAAAAAAATAATTTATTGTTTTTCAGACTGGTATGTGAATTTGTGTGATAAACTTATTTATTCTTATTTAACAAAAAATATGTGCAAATTCTTCTGTATTTAAAGTGTTTTGCTGTTGTCCTATTTTTTAATTTATGCTTCATTTTGTGTATAAAGTACACTTTGTGAGTTTACATAATATACAGCACTGGTTGCTTTTGTATTTTTTTTTTAACAGAAAGCTTTCTGCATGAAACAGGTATATATGTATATATTTTATAGGTATTCCAATTCTGATATTATTAATTTCCTGTGTAATGAAATATTCAACTTGACCTTTAATGTCCAGCAGAGTTCATAATTTTTTTCATAATTTTTATTATGTTAATAAGTCTATTGAGTCTAATTAACACTAATTTTTGTAGGTCAGATAAGAAAATAACCCACTTATTCAATAAAATAAAGGCCAAGTTTTTAATTCTGCTACATATTTATCCCAGAAGCTTCTCATAAAGATAAACATAAAGATACAAACCCACTCACTTCACGGACAACCTTGGAAAAGGAGCTGTTTGATGAAAGTTGTGTTCACATAACTAAGTAACATAAATAATAAAATAAAAAATTTTCCTTGCTGTGTTAGAAACACTTTTTAAGTCAGAAAACTAATGTTTTTTTTTAGTCCTTGTTATATATCCCATTGCAGAAAGTGGATCCCAGCTCATAGTGACCCTCCATGGAGTTTCTGACACTGTACATCTGTATGGAAAGAAATTGCCCATCTTTCTTTCATGGAGTTGCTAGTGTTTAAACCACCAACCTCTGGAATAGCAGTCCTGCATATTAAGTACTAGACCACTGGGATTCCTTTTACTATATGTTGTTTGGTGCCAACAAGTTGACTTAAAGCAGTTCTATGGTATCATTGATGAATATTACTAATTGTTAATCATTATTATTATATTTTAGCTCATAAAAAGGTTTTCTATTTTTATAATTACAAAGCTACAAAATAAAAGGTGTAATCATGAGAATAGAGTAGAATCAAGTTGAAGGTGGTTTAGGCACAAGGTTTATCTTTCTCATTTGTCAATAATTTATAGTGTTAGATTGTCAAATGGGTAGTTCAATTTAATTAGTCCATTAAAAAATATGATCTTCCTAATAGCCCTGTTAACATGAAATATACAAATGATTTACCAAGTCTTATTGCCATGAAACGTACCAGTCTATAATACACAAATATATTCTTTCAATTAATACATGTCAACGTATTGAAATTAAAAACCGTGCATTAGCTACATAGAAAACAAACAATACTCAGATCAGCAAATAATTTCAACTGGCAGATATCACTCTGGTGCTCTGTAGGCTTTATGTAAAAGATAAAAAAGGATGTGTTACTAGAAGATATTTTAAAAGAGAGTAGGATTGAAACATATACACGAACTAATCCAATTAGCTACATCCTACTAATGTACTAGCACTTTAGCAATACATTTTGTTTGTGGTCCTTGCAGTATGGCTTCACCAACTATCCATCTTGACTACCATAAGTCAGATGACAAATGAAGGCCACCATCTTATGAGGCACTGCCAAATCAGAGTGAACCGGAGTCCAACACTGTGAGAAAACTGTGATTTGTAAATAAAGAAGATGTGGGTTGGTTTTTTTTTTCCTTTTTGCACATCCAAATATTTTTATAGAGGTGCTAATATCTTCAGAGATCAACTGTCAAGTGTGACATTTTTTAATTGCCAATTTTTAAATTATTTTCAAGAAAAGACTAAGTTTTCTGTCAACACTGGCATAATAAAGTACTCAGCATTCAGAAAACAGACACACTAGTGGTAGGCTTTTAAATGAGTGAGGTTTCAGCACTTGGAAAGCTAGCAGCATTCTCTTCTTGTACATGTCTAGCTTAACTTTTTTAAATTTTGCAGTGTTTTATGTTCATGTTGTTTTTCGTTGCCATCGAGTTAATTCTGAACCATGGTGACCCCATGTGTATAGTAAGCACTTAACTACTGTATCTTCAACATTTCTTTAACTTACAGCTTACAGCATATTGGAAATACATATATATAGGAATTGCCTGTGTCTTTATGAGGGTAAACTCTTTGGTTAAGAAATACATATATTTTTGTAGGGACAAATTTTGGCATCACATGGTCAAATAAAACTAAACATTGTTGGCTCAATTTGTTGCTATTAGGATTTGACAAATTCTGCT